AAATAAAGAGATATTGCATAAATGGACCTCAACTTTAAAAGGTTTTAATTAAAAAAAAAAAACATCATATTTAATGATAGAAAATACTACAAAAAAAATCTTGAAATTTTAAAAATTCAAAGATTTATTTCTATCATCATTATTTATTGATCTAATCTATATTGAGTATCACAAAAAAAAACAAAAAAACAAAACAAAGTCTCTAAAGAACTACAAATTCTAATATCCATATTTAACTCACCAAAACTTCATTTGATAAAAAAATCATCATCACCCAACGAACAAATAGAAGAAAATAATGATTTCTACTTCATTGGAAAAAAAAAAAAAAAAAAAAAAAAAAAAAAAAACTTTCTTTCAATTATCTATCTTAAACTTTAGATCCTATAGATCTGAGTTTGATGCAATCAATGAATGTCCAACCAAAGATGTATACAACAATATGAATTTATTTGATAAACCTAATAAGCCTACAAATGCTCTGAGATTTTATGGACAAAAAAACACTATGTTAATATAAAAAGGAATAATGATTGATGAAGGATAGTGCATCAAATTGGACCAAATTTCAAAGATATCCCTTTGGCTTTTTGATTGTTTTGTTGGAATGATTGATTTGTAAAATGAACCTTCAAAATTTTAGAAAGAAATATAACACAAGTATAGAAAGATGCTATACAAGAAGAAATAGAATTAATTATTAAAAATAAAACTTAAAAACTATCAAAAGTCCTACTTGATAAGATTCTAATATATATATATATATAATGGAAATACAAAACTAAACAAAAAGTAGACAAGAAAATACAAAAATATAAAGCACAATTAATAGCTTGCGATTTTGAATAATTAAAAAGAATAGACTTCAAAGATATCTTTGCACCTACAATAAAATGGACCACTATCAGATTAATAGTTCCACTTGCAACTCAAAAAAGATGGCAGCTAGTCTATATGGACAATAAAATTATATTTTTCTATGGAGAATTACAAGAAGGTGTCTAAATTTTGCAACCAAAAAGATTTGTAGCAAAAGAAAAAGAAAACATAGTATGAAAACTCAAAAAATCATTATATAACTTAGGACATGGATCAAAAGTCTAGTACTAGATAACATACTTGTATCTAAAATACCAAGACTTTTAAAAAAAATATTGAGAACTATAATATGTATGTAATTTGCAATAGAGAAAAGATATTATTTTTGATATTATATGTTGACAATCCATTGTATATTAGTAATTGCTAGAAATAGAGACAATGGCTTAAACAAAAATTTGAAGCAAAATTCAAAATGTGAATAATAAACAACAATTTAGTAATTCTATACTTCAAAGCCAAATCTATTCAAGTTCAAAATGCAAAAGAAATTGATATGACAAAATCAACTTCAACCACTTTAAGGAGATGCAACCTCTTTTATACTCAAAATCCTAATGTCAATGTAATATTCAACTTCTTCAAATGTTTTGAAGTTCTTAAACTCCACATTACTAAAGTCTTTTACTTAAACCTTGCTATATAATTAAGAAATATAAATACCAAGATGACAACCTTATTGAATAATGTAATATTTTTTGATGATGGAGAATGATGACAAACCTTTAGTACAATGAACTAGAATTAATTGCATAATAAAGGTCAAAACTAGTGCATTAACTCTTGAATTGAAAATTTCTTCAATAAAAATGGCCTTGTCATCTTCAACCTGATAACATTTGTCTATCAAAAATACAAGCAAAGAAATGAAGAAACAAAAAAAGACAATGACACAAACAACAAAAAGACACAATCCAAGCAACAAAATTTCCACTTCCACAAAATTCAAAATAAAATAAAATAAAAAATAACTAACATTTTGTTAAAAAATTATAATAATAAAAAATTATAAAATTAGAATTAGGATTAGAACTTACTATAGTCAAAGAATCCAATTGCATGTCAATGTAATCTTCCACCAACTATGTAGGAACTAACTTTGCTCTAAATATAATTTTAAAGATATTAAACTAAAGCAAACAAAACATAAACAAATAAGAAAAATAATTTCTTCTAAATTATGCATTGCTTTCAATAATCTACGCTTGAAAAAATGACAAAGTCATTCGCAAATAAATCTCAAAATTATTCTACAATGAGAGGGGCTATTGGAAGATAACACTATAGCAAAAGTTTTAGGTTATTCACTGTTTCATCTATTTAGATTTATTTCATCATTTCAATCTACCTCACTCAAGATCATCCAAGTATAAATATGTACTTCTTCCTTCTTTGCATGCTTAGGCCAAGCATTGGAAGAAGAATAAAATGGAGATAATTTGAGACCACAAACGGTTAAATGGAGTCTATTCTAATGGCTCTTCGTCTAACAAGTTGACAAAATTGGAGTATTTTTTTTTTTTTTTTCTTGCAACTTGCAGCTAATGCTATATGAAACATGAACTTGCAATGCAATACAAATGACCTCATTTACACATGTATAGCCATGATTTGATGTGAATTGATTCTCAACGTCATTAACTTGTGGCCTAATTGACACTAGAACTATAAGGTATCATTATAAGGTATCATCACCAAATACCACAATTGTTTTAATGGGGACATTTTCAAGGACATTTTAAGTTTTTTGTTGTTGAATACTCAATAAATCTCCTTGCTGCAATTGACTTAAATAGTACACTTTTTGTCCACACAATTTGAGAGTGTTTGTAAATAGTATGGATTACTAAATAGCATGGCTCACACTTATACATGTAGGTCTTGCTAAAAATCAATATTCATAAATAGGGTGGTCCACATTCGTTACTATATTGATGTACCAATTTATTCACCTAGAGAACACACAATGTTCTTGATTGCCTCTTCCACAAAGACACATTGGTTCCAATTGTTCCAATTCTACTGAGACTCTACTGGTATTTTTCTGAAATTCTGCCAAGTTACACAAATTTGCCTATTGAGACTTTGTTACAGCCCTACAGCAGGAAGAACACCCTGGTTCCAATTTCCAGATAGCGCATAAACATCTTCATGCGTTTGATGTTTGTCCATGCTGCTTGATTTTAAGGCTATTCCGCAGTACTCTTTCATCTGGATTTAAAAAATCAACTTTTATCCTTTCATGGATTTTGCACCTCTCTGCCTTCGCCAACACCCTCTACCCAGATCGCGGCATAGGATTCCTTCCATTGTCGCTCTAATTTAGTGCTCACTTAGTGTACACCGCTGGTCTAAATAACTCTTACACAACACACTCAAACTAGAAATGATCCTCGGAGACAGAAGTCACAGATCCAACAGCTCACAATCAGGGTTCAGTAATCCAACAGTGCCTCCAACTTTTCACTACAAAAATTCAGCACGTCGTATTTTTAAACCACAACAGGTTTCCTTATTGCTGCTTCCGCAACCAGGACGCTGCATTCTGCTCTCTTGCAAACACCAACACCACTGCTCCAGCTCGTCATGGCGCACTTTGACAATCTATTGTCATTGCCGCACTAGTATTCTTTCTTGTAATTCGCTCATGCCCTCGAACCTTGTCGTTCTTCTTCTTCTGCGCACCCCATTGCTTCCGCACACTGCAACTTTTTTCTGATCGCCCCACAATGCGTCTCCCTTTCATTTGCTACTATACTGCTTGCTTATAAATGCTGTGATCCCTCACGCCGATGTGCTTCTTCTTCTTATTACGGACCAAACCTGGATTTTGGTATTGATTCTTCCGACCTGGTCGACTTCAATCACTGACCTTCGCTCGGCTAGTTAATGGATCTAACCTCTTAGATCAAAACTTGTCCATGTTGGCTTGCTCCTTTTTCCACATACGATTGCACCACAGTCATCAACTTCGACCTCTACTGCTGCTTTATCCTTTCGCCAATGTTAAACTGCTCTGGATCGCTCTGAACACTAGTCTTTCTGCCTGTTTATTTCGTCCTCAGATCACACCTCGATTCTGTTGGCTAACACTCGGGTTTGATCACTCAGACACCCGTCACATCCCATTACATTGACCATATACTGATATTATCTTTACCGAATGAAAAACTTGTGTGACCGTTCAACAAATAGTTACAAATTAGAACTAAAAAGTTAGTTAATTAATTAATGAAACATATTTGAATAACATAACAACAAAAATATTATGCAAAGATACAAAAACACAAGGAAATAATAATCATGATGCACCCTGAAACATGACATCGACTTGGGATCCAAATGCGGATCACAAGACAGACCAAAAATAATGCAGATCGCTAACCATGATGTATGATCCTCGAAGAAACCTAAGGTAAGTAAACTAAGTTAAAAACAAAAGTTCAATTGTATGAAACTCCATCTGGGTATCCAGATGTCACAACATATGGGTTATCAACAGGTCTTTAAGATTAGTAGTCTCTACAACGATCCAAAACAATATTGTGTAGCCGCAGCAGTGACGAATGGTTCCAACCCCCTGTCCTCAGCTGCGAAGCTCGTCTTTCAAAGAATCTTACACCCAAGTCATCCATTCTAGTATGGTACACATGTTCAATAACGAGCTCCGAATGCATAAATAGCTCCCAAATGGTCATACTATCCAAAGAACCTGTTGATAACACGTACGGGCCTCACCAGGTGCTTTTCCGGACTTGTTCCCTGTCAAGCTCAGGACGCACCCAAGCCCAAATAGATTTAGTCAGGAAGCCACTGCACTCACAGGCGTGGGCCGCCTATGTTCCATGTTTAGTTGCTGCGTGTGCTAGACGAGGGAGCTGCACTTCAGTTGACCATTCTCTGTTGATGCAACGAAGGATTACAGACGGCTGGAAATGGAGAGCGACAACGAGTTATCAACAGGCAAGATCACCTCCAGAATGTCCTGGACTGAGCTGTCCGGAGCACATGAGCGGATAAAAGCAAAAAAAACCAATCACTAGTGTCAAATCGGTGACCACTATGATAGACATCCTTCCATATCCCACTCAGTAACATTAACAAGTGCAGAAATGAAGAACTAAGTGACCAAACAAAACCAATTACAATGGAACCCATTACACAACTCCAAATCGACAAAAACTCCTACAACTGCCATAATTTCTGAAGTGATATCTTAATGTATCTCAGAACTTGTATAGAAAACTCGGCAAGCATCACCCGGGGCTCAATCAAGCGAACAACGAACGTGCTACTCCACTGATCCCAGAAAAACAACCTCGTCAACATACTGCTCTCTAACTCACACGAAATGTTGCTTCGTACATGAATAGTCGTTAAAACTTAAATTTCACATTCCCAAGCCGCTGCCTACGCTAATGCTCGTTCATAAGTAAGGTGAGTCCAGTTACTGAGACTTGCACATTCCTCAGGTCATCCTAACTTCCACCTCAGATCCCATCACTGGGGCGCGGGCTCCCAGCCGGCAGGTGCTGCGGGTGCAGCCGTCTCCCATCCCGCCGGAGGGGCGGCAGCAGGAGCAGCTCCCACATCCCAGCCGGCGCCAGCGGGAACTGCCGCGCCTGTCCATTCCACAGCTGGAACTCCAGCCGGAACAGCACCTGTGGCCACGGCACTTGCGTCCGCTTCCCATTGACCGGCTTCAGCAGCCTCAGGTCCCCACTGTGCGTCGCCTACCATACCCAGCGCCGGGGCTGGGTACTCCACGGCAGCGAACTCAGCGGCTCCTGCCTCCTCCTCATCGCGGTCCTTGCCTTCATCGGGCTCTCTGTAAAAGAAGAGGTCCACCTGTAACGCACAGCCCCCAATTGCATTAACCAAACAATTCAGCGTCCTTGCAACATCCCACCCTCTAAAACCCCAAACCCAATGCCAAGCCATCACGTGTAGAATCATTCTACCATTGCCAAACCACAATCCTCTCGCAATTGCACTCAGCGGCCCACGTTCCAGATGGTAAACTCCATTTCACTTACCACAAAATTCAAGCCCTAATGCACCCAACCATACCATCAAGCCTCACCCGAAAACATTGGCATTCCACTCACCATCACATCCCATGGCTTGGCCGCGCTGATCGTTCCTCGCATTTGCAAAACCATGCGAGCCAGCAACCAGAACAGGGCACCAATGCTGTGCTTCCCCTTGTTGTTCGCAGGGATAGCAATGTCCACGTACTTCATCGGAGAGTCCGTGTCACAGAATGCGATGACGGGAATGTTTCCCAGAGCAGCCTCCATGATTGGCTTTCCAATCGAACACCACACAAACCACCCGTTTCAGAAATTCATACAGTCTGCATACTTTAATCTCCACAAAATCCTTTGCCATTCCTTGGCCATTCTCGAGCAATACCAATAGCCGTTCTCCTACCAATTCCATGAGAAAAAACGAAGAACACCACTGCCCACCTCCGCTCAATGCACCCCAACTATTGCCCTCTACACTATGATCCGCGCCCAGCAATGCCATCCAAAAAACCCTAACCTGGTGATCAGTTCGAGGATCCGTCAAAATTAGAAGCCTGGGCTCGCTGAAGGTGTTCTGCAGCTGATTGGTGAAAGTTCCGGGGGTGTGTCTCCCAGCAATGGCCTGGCAACCCGTGTACTGCGCAAACTTCAGCACCGCTCGCTGACCATAAGGCCGAGCCGACTGCACGATAATGTCCTGCGGGTTCTCGATGGCCGCAATCACCCTCGCAGCAAGCTCAAGCTTCTCGTAGGTCTTGCCAACGTTGATAATAAAAATGCCTGTCCACCGATGCGACCACATTGTTACCACCACACATACCGGAGGGCAGCACCGGCACGCAACGTTACGAACAACGCTGCATGCATTGCGCACCCATCCGTAAACCAAGCAAGAAGACGACGACAACGACGACACCGAGCCCATTCCACAACTAGAAATTGTCTAAGGAATAACCCTAATGAGAATTAATACCATCGGAGCGGCGCTTCCAGACGTATCGCTCCATCTGGAAATCGCAGTTCTTGGTGCCGAGATGCACATCGGCAGCCAGCATCATTTGCACATCGGACTCTTTCATGGTCTCGAGCGGAGTTGGAATGCAGTCCAGATTGTGGGACTGCGAAAACTCGAGCTGCTGCTTCAAACAGAGCTCCGCCTTCTGCCTTGATCGCCCTCTACACCCCTTCGCTACGACGGAGACGGAGCCCTAACGAATTTCCCGTTTTCTCGTCGCCTCCACTTCCAGTCGATACGACCTTCGTCCTCAAACAGATTGACTGGCCCGATCGTGCTTGACAGAAAAACCAAATTTTAACAATTCCTTTCTTCTTCAAGTACTCTGTTGTAGTCATTTTATATTTTACAGAGTCATTAAACATATTAAATTTATCTAATTCTTTTTAATTGATTTATTTTTATTTTTCTTCTTCTTCTTCTTCAACTGCTCATATATCCCAAGTATTGCTTGTTTAGGACAGGATTATGTTTGTGCTCTGGTTTTATTTATCTCATGTAGCATTTCTTTCTAATGTATTGCTTAAGATTTTATTGTGTTTTATAGTTTGAGTCGATCCATGTGTGTGTGTATGCATATATATATATATATATATATATATATATGTGTGTGTGTGTGTGTGAGTGTGTGTTCATTTGAATATTGTAATTATTCTCTCTTACATTTTATATATATGATTTAATGTATTTTATTATACTATGGTATAGATTATTTTTCTTAACTCTAATTAAACACAATATATATATATATATATATATATATATATAATACATTTTAACAAAGAATCCTTTTTATAAAAACATTTAAAATGAGAATACCAATTGTATATTCTTATTACAATAGTAAATATATTTGTCTATCAATTGCAAAATTACACATAAACATTTGGAAGACAGTCTAAACATGTGAATGTTTGTATATGTCACTTTGACTAAAATATAATAGAAAACTTGACTAAACTCTAATTGGGCATAGATTCAAATCTTACAACCATCACGTAATCATGTACATAAATAAGATTGTTGACAATACAATTGCAATTTATAATTAGAGTTAAGAAAAATAAATAAATAAATACATATGTATATATAGACGATTTTGTAATAATAATCCATTGACAACCATACATATTCTTAAAATTGAGGTAAAGATTATCGCAATAATTTCTTAAGCTTATATAATTAAAAATATGAACTAATTTTAATACCATTGTTTATACACAATCAGTTTACTTTTTTTAAAACAAATTCTTAGTGGCAACTAAATCTCATAACTTTTATTTATTAAATCATACAAGTATTTTTTTTTAATTAAATTTGATGTAGATATATAAATTTCAAACTAAAATGGTATTACTATGATATTAAGTATATTATAAAAAACATAATTTTGTATAATATACATTATTTTGGGATAAATTGTAGTTTATTTTCACTAAAATAAATAAATAAAACCATGTGCAAACACTTAATTACTATTGGGTTTTAAAATTGTTGTGATTAATTAAATTAAAATTTTATTTTATGTTGTCCTATGAGAAAAAAATGTACTATATATATATATATATATATATATATATATATATTTAAAATGCATGAAATAAAAGTTTTTTACTATTGTCACTTATTAAGCAATGAGTCTATGAATAGCAAAAAGTTGTCATTGATTTGTAACAAGTTTTTATTTTTTGAATAATATTAAAAAATATCTCAGAAGAATAAAAATAAAGGTGAAGTTCCGAAGTAAAAAGGTGTCTGCAATCTTTTTTAAAGTAAATTTACCGGAATATGATTGTGCTAAATGACACAGACTTTTGTAACTTAACTTAATTTGTGTTAACTTTTGTTAACATGTATATACACAGTGTATATGTATGTTTATGTGTAGATGTGTATGGATGGATGTGAGTATATGTAGGTGTGTATGTGAATATATATATATATATATATATATATATTACCAAATACATGTTTGTCCATTACCACAACATCATCAAATTACATTTCTTGTGTCAAGTTCAACAATTTTTCTTTTTTGTTTCAATTTAACTACATCTCTTTTATTTTTTTCATTGCAAAGCAGAGATTTGAATGGATTGTTATACTAAGAAAAGAAGACAAGAAGCCACAATGTTTAAAGCTTGTAATTGGTTAAAATCAAAAATTGTAATTTTTAGGTTTTATACAAAGAAAAATCAATTAAGACACCAGGTAACAAATAGATAAGATGGAATGTATTTTCTCCCTATATGGCATAAATAGTGTTGCCCCCTAAAATTTGCTATAGGCATATTACAAGAAGGTGGTTTTTACAAAAATCAAAGAATTTATGTCAAACATCACTTTGGAGACCTACTTTTATTATTAAATATTTGTAATTAATACTACAATCAAGATATGAATTGTTGGATTTGTGATCATAATAAAAGAATTATTTGGTCCATTTCATGACTTCTCCTTATCTTCTACAATCTCTTAATGCCAAGGCTATGCTTTACATTTGTCTTGACATTTGGACATAGTATAAAGTGAGAAGTGGTCACAAAATGGACCAAATCATTCTTTTTTTATAATCCTAATTATTCTAATTCATATATTAATTATAGAAATCTTGAAAAATGTTTAATACTTAATAATATATTTTTGAATGATATTTTATTTTATTTTTATTGTAATTTGTGACTTAGCCTCTCAATTTTTTTTATATAAAAACTACCTCTTGAAGTGGACCTAACATAAATTTATGGAAATGACATTGTTTGTGCAATGTAGGACAATAAATAAATAAATAAAAATGCACTCTAAATCATGTTACAAAAAACCTGAAAAAGATCAAAGCAGCAAATTTTTACACGTGGAGGGAATGCCAGCGCGGACAGACGGGGGGTGAGGTGGAGTGCCAACGTGGACAAGTGGGGTCGGAGGTGGAGTGAAGGCTCGAATGGCGTGCTCGATGCTTTGCGTTACCGGTTCTCATGTGGAGGGAGAGATAAATGAATGAATAAATGGATGTAAGTAAGTAAGTAAGCAAGCGAACGAGATGATCGGAACGAACCATGGTGATGAAGGAAAGGAAAGGAAAGCATCACCGGATGCTTCTTCTGCTTCTGATGTCGACGTCGACGATGATCGGCACTATTACCAACAACAACATCTATCTCATTATCAATATCATTATTAATATCATCATCGTGCAACACCAACACAAATCGATGCACCCTCTCCATCTCTCTTTCTTACTCTCTCTCTCTCTCTCTCTCTCTCTGTTTATGTTTGTGTGTATCATAGTAGCTTCTTTCCCAATCAGATCACGCAACCACCCTCTAGCCGAGCATTCCCACTCCTGCCCCCCTCCTCCTCCTGCTTTATTATTGCCTTGTGGTTGACGCGCGACTTTGTTGCGCAGGCCGGGCAGTGCTGGGAGGGATGGTGACGGAGGGTGTAGGAGCAGAATCAGGGGGGTGGGAGGAGGTTGCTGACGTTGAAGGAGGAGGCGGAGGTGGAGGAGGTGGTGGTGGAGGTGTTTTCGTTGAGGACGAATCATCTCTGAGGTAGGGTAAGCTAAGGTAGGGTAGGGTTTGCGAGGAAGGAAGAAAGGAAGTGAGTAAGTAAGTAAGCAAGCAAGGAAATAAAGAAAGGAAGGAAGGATTCGAAGGAGGGAGGTTCAGAGGGTTTGGATTGGAGAGATTAGGGGTGAGAGCGGGGCGTGCGCGATGGCGCCGTTCGGTTCCACGCAGAGTGAGAAGGCGAATGTTGAACAGATAGTGGCAGAGTATTACGCGAAGGCCTTGCATATAATTCTGGAGGCGAGGATACCGCATGTGCTGGGGCAAGGGGCGGGGTATGGGAATAGCGGGGAGGGAAATGACTCTTTGTATATGATCGGAGGGGGAGGGGGAGGGAGGGCGTCGAATAAGTGGTTCAATTTGGAGTTGGAGAGCTCTAGCCATGTGCAGGAGAGTGTGGATGCGTGGAGAAGGGGAGTGTGCCAGGAGCCCATGGTGGTGGACATATTGTTGCACCAGCCGACGGGGACGATGGAGGTGCCGTCGTCCTCCTCGGGTAACGCGAGTCTGGAGCGACAGCGCAGTTTCAATAAGTGGAGTGGGTCGCCGCAGCGGGTGGCGAATTTGAGAGGGGAGTCGTGGAATGAGGGCAACGATGGCGACAGCTTCACGTCCGCGGGGGTTGTGTCGAGGACCTTGCTTGAGAGGTGGGTCGTGCACTATGAGCGGACGAAGAAGGGTTCGGTCTTAGGGTTTGGGCCTGTGCTCGCGAAGCAGGCGCCTGTTGAAGGGGGTGCGTCTTTGGATGAAGACATCTCAAGCATAGGTCGGAAACAAGGGGGAGGTCCTTCTACTTTTCCGTCCAATCATGTTCTGGAGAGTCCAGTTGTGTATAAGAGGACTGTGATTATGCTGCGCTCTTTATATTGTTTGGTGCGTACTTTGCCAGCCTTCCGGCTATTCAAACTTGCGAATTTCTCGTCCCACAGCCGGAGTTTCTCTCTCTCGTACACCGTCTCCCCTGCACCTTCAGCTGTATCTGAGCACGATGAAGATGCAATGATGAAATGCAGTTTAACCCCAATTGAGACTCAGTGGGGCAGATTGTGCATCTCCTCTATGTACAGAAATGCAACTGCTGTAACAGCCCTGGAAGTCACCCCTCGAATTATGTCGCGGATCATTGCCGACTATGTCGGCAGCCCGACCACTGACCCTTTGAGAAGATTTACTAGTGTTGGGTCATTACCTTCTGGAGGACTTTCTGGTCGGCAGGGGGTGCATGTTGTTACTCTACCAGGTGAACGCAACACTCTTGACTTCTCTCGGTGATCAGATGAAAGTTAGGGCAATTTATCTTTTCAGTTCATTTTTCTTCTGCTACACGGAGTCGTATGAGAGTTGAGGTAGCTTTTTAGGCATCCTTCGGTTCGTTGTTTTGCAATTAGTCCAAGTATATTGTGCAGATTGGGTTGTATTGGTCTTGTTGGGCAGCAAACGTAACTACATATTAGATGCCTTATCAATCTCTCTCTTCCCTCCACAACTGTAGCGGCGTTTTGGCATTCTTGTGACCAGGGGTTTTTGTTTGTTGAAAGAACTCCTTTCGGTGTCCTGTAACCCTATTTGCATTCTGATAATGAGTTCCTAGTAGATGTTTCTGATGGATACGCCTGTTATGTAAGGTACGAATCTGTGTTTAGATATCGGTTAGTTGCAACAATTGCATAACATTATGCAAGTCTTATGTGAGGTGGGTTCAATAATCTTCGTGAAGATTTTTTTAAGCTTTTACAATGCTCATCCGAGGGTGGTTTAATGCAGGTTCTGTGCCTAGTTCTCCATCCGGGGCAGTTGGACGACGCCACAGTTGGAGTGGGGGCATAAACAAGGTGCAGTCGCAGCCTCCACCACTGCCAATTTCTCCCTCCTATAAATCATCATCCCCATCCCCTTCTCATCCGTCTCTTGATTTTCAAAACCTTTCTCCTAAAACCCCTCACTTTTTCCACCATTCGTCTTCCCCGTCCGGGACACATGCTCCCTCGAATCTCTCACCTAGAAATTCTCCCTTGCAAAGAGGATTCGTTCAGCCTCCTTCCTCTCACCATCCTCACTTGGACTCTCAACCTATCCCTATACATTCTCGTCGCTCTCCTCCTTTTTCACCATCTCCATCCCCTTCACCACCTCAACATGGCTATCCTCAAAATGATTTCCGGTTACGATGCAGCAGTGCCCCTGTAAGTATTCCCCGTCCCACTAACCTTAACCGTCCCTTGACTAGCACACGAGCTGCGCCTGATACTCACCATCAAAGCAGAAGCCCTCTTCCACCACCTTCTCCTCAGACTCGTCCTTTGGATCTACCTAGGGCAATTTCTTTTAATTCCCGTCTTCATCCAGGATCAGGTGGTCATGTCTCAAATTTTTCACTAGACAGCAAGAATGCGGCTCGATCATCTACAGCTGGTGACTCGTTGCAGGGCACCCCCCAGAATCGATTCCGCGGACATCAGGTACACATTTTAGCATTGAGTTCAATTCCTTCTAATCATTGCTGGGCTTCTTTGATATTTTCGAATGGCTATTCGATGCATGGCATATAAGAGAAATAATGTTTCTCTTTTATAATCATTATCCCAATGCAGTTTTTCCTAGCTCTGCGTGCCTCCTAAGTTTTCTCTATCATGTTGCCAATGTTTCTGATTTCTCTTTTGCACTGAGTTGCCATGGACGAAGGAATAATATGTACAAGGTGTTTGGATTCCAGATCTCCTTAGAAGAGCAGATTGAAGAACTTTCTCTGTCAGGCATAAAACGGTCTGTTCATAGCCCTCCAACGCTTGCACTAGGTGACGTCAGAGCCTCCAGCAAGTTTTCAAGCCCCAATCGTGAGGACCCAGAGGAGATGCATTTAGAGTGCCCATTTGCAATTGACAACGATGACGCGGAGGATTATCGGAGCAGGTACTCATATTGGATCAAATAATTTCTGATTGATTTTGTGCCGTGTAAATCTCTTGTTCACTGGAATCTTCTTGACTGGTTTTTACCTACTCTGCTGGTGAGCATCATGAAGAATTTAGCTGGGTAGTTATAGTTCTCGACTTGGAGTTGTTTGATGATTGGACTTCGATGCCAACATTGATGATAAGTTATGTGGGGTTTGTTTCGATCTTTGTTGGTGCTGGTATGGTGTTGCAGTACTGTGTGTTAGAGCTGTAAGAGTATCTGTACCATCTCTCTCATCGGCAGTGTAGGTGTTCATGCTCAGATTTTGTCGTTTTTGGCAGGGTTGGGAGTCCAGGTGTGAGACCAAAGGTTCCTGATTCGCCCGACTTCCAGGGAAGCACCCCAGGGTCCGCTGTAGGGGCCCTAGTCAGGATTCTGAGGGGTGCAGCTCCTCTGCGCCAACAAAGCGCCCCACCTGCCTTCACAGATCTTCCTGTTTCAAGAATGGGCTCTGCTCCTTCATCTCCTGTTGCAATTACAGGCAGAGTCAAGAATAGTCCACCCAAACCCAGCTCCCTTGGCACGCGCAATAGCAGCTTGAAGGGACGACTAAGCCAACCTGGCAGTTTGGGAGGCAACACAGGACCAGGATCGTCGTTTGGCACCGGAGTGGTTGGCTCTCCACCATCAATAGGGTTTAGACAAGCCATTTCGAAAACCGCCGCCGATGCTCTGGAAGAGTTGCGGGGGTACCGAGAAATGCGCGATTTTTTAGTGCGTCAAAGTGGGGGAAATTCAGGGAATGACCGGCAAGTAGTGAATCGTGTGTAAAGAAACAGAAAAAAGGAAAAAAGAGAACAGAAAACTGATACTCAAGGTCCATGACCACGTTATGGTGATATCAGTGTATAGAGTAGAAGACTTAGCTGAGAAGCTGTATTGTACAGGCAGGTTTAAGTGAGACACTTGAAATGGTCCTATCCATAGTTGGCCGACCACATACAATTTGTTGTTGTGAAACTCTCGAGGAAGATGAGCATTGATTCATGTCTCTACAATTGGCAGCGTAGGCTCCACTTCCCGTGTATCTCCTCCTTCACACCTACCGTTTAAAGTCAGAGTATCCATTCCTCATGTGATCTGTGTCGTAACGTAATGTAGCTGCTCACATGGCTCGTGTCTCTTTTGGCATCAATTGGTTAACTACTTAACCAATGCTGTCTAAGTTTCTCAACGTTCAAGTGAGTAATTACCCGTAGATTATACGCCAAAGTTCTTACGTCACTGAAGTCTCCAATGTCAAGCTAGCACGTCAAAGAAAATTTGCGCTCTCACTACCTTTGGCCATCACTTGAACTGGATAATTGGCCAAATTGCCTTCCTCAAGTCTAGTTTATTCTGCTTGTTTCAAATCGGCTTGTGTGGATTCTTAAAATATCCAGATAGTACGTTATGATATGCCTCACATGTACAAATGAGTCTTGAGGTGTACTTGAGGAGATTGCTTCGACAAGAGGGTGTAAGAGAATTCTTTTTACATCATTGATAGTTTTATATTGCAAAATTCAAACAATAAATCACATTTAATCTTTATATATTACTATTAGGCCAATGGATTTTATTTGTATATTTTTTTTAAAAAATGCATTCAATTTATTTAAGTTATTTTTACATAATTTTAAAATTAGTAAAAAAAACATAATTGCATGTTTATGTCTTTATTTGATCTTTTGATAGCAAAGAGACCTGTTAAGATAGGGTGTTGCTAATGCCTCCATAAACTTCTATCCAACACATGTCACTTTTGTTCAATATCTATCAATTCAATCAAATTTTCTTTGTTCAATACTTTTTAAACCATTTGATTGTACATTTTTTTTTTTAAATTGTTGTAATATATGTATAAATATTACTCCACTCCTTTATCTTAATAATAATAATTATCTTTATGAATTAAACTTTAATTCTTTAAAATATCTTAAATTATACCAAAAACCACAAATGGTTTATAGTATCTTGATCTTTATATTCACACGACATTTGTGGAACTTATAGATTTTAATATTTAAATACTGACAATTAAAATGATACATATAATTTTTTTATTTTATATATACATTTTTTTTTAATATTATTGTATTGATAATAAAACTTGAAGTGCTTATTATTATCATCTTATTTTATTATTATTCATCACACCAACTTGTTGAGATGTTGTTTTTATTTTTGGTTATTTTATCTTGATTAATATTAAAAGAAACCACTGTTATTTATGTAATTGGCTGATAATCCACTAATTTTTAATATTACAAAAAACAGACAAATTCTTACAAAATCTTTAAATCGGATTCAACAATTCTTAATATGTTTCTATAAATTATAATATAAGTCTTGTGGCCTAAACATCAAGTTGTAAACCAACTCTATTGTAAATATTTAAAAGAAAGAAGTGTATAAGACAAATTTTAATAGCCATATGACATATCTATAGAATCTTAAGATTTAATTTATATCACAACCTCCTTGAAGATTTGTAAGGAAGGTATTATCTATTTAACACATAATATCTACTTTTACTTTAGATTTTAACAATCTTAGATTTATATAGGTACCTAAGTTTGACATTATTTCCAAATTAATTAAGCAAACTCGCATCTTGAAAACCTTAGATATAGATAGGTGCTCAAGCTTGATATTATTACCAAATGAATTAAATATCTTTACATCTTTATCAATCTATAATTAAAAGAGTTTTTCAAGCTTATTTAATCATTATTGCTATAAAATTTGGGCAACTTTATATCTTTGACAATCTTATATTAAAACAAGTGCTTAAGCTTAATTTTATTATCAAATAAATTAAGCAACCTCACATTTTTAACAATCTTTAGTTTGATTATCTTTGTATAAGCTTAAAGTTATTAAGATTTGGATTACTTACTTTCATATCTTTGATAAATTTATATATATGTTTGTACTCAACACTATTATCAAATAAATTGGATAATCACACATCTTTGAATACTTTAAATATAAGAAATTGCTCAAGCTTGATATCACTGTAAAAAGAATTAAAAACTTTATAACTTCTATTAAGGTATAAAATAAAATATGTCTTTAACATCATTAGCAATCATAGAATGTATATTTATATATTCAATAACTTTAATAGCTTTAAGTATTCAAATCTAATCTTATATATAAGAAAAATAGATAATTATAGATATAAATAGTAATATATATATATATATATATATATATATATATTTAAAGACAATGTAGATGTGTACATTTTTCTACATATGCATTGAAATAAATTGAATGCTTTGGCTATAAACAAGTCTTCTTATAATAAATTATGATTTTTTTTAAAAATAGAATATATTTAAATTTAAATTAAAGTAAATAATTTGAAAATTAATCCACTAAAGTAGTACACAATAAAATTTATTTTAAATAATAATAATAATACTTTTTAACACTTAATTTAATAATACATATGAATTAATTTTGAATAAGATTTATATAATTTAAATGACTATCAAATATAATATTCTAAAAAATTAACCAAATTTTAGAATTTAAATTTATATATTAAAATATATGAATATTTTTAATATAGACATAAGAAAGATTGAGCATGCAATTGAACTTTTCATTAATATAAATACCTAATATATTACAAGAGATTTTAGATGTTATTATTTTTTATTATATTGGATTTTTATTTTAATAATTTTTTTAATATTTACATGTAAAATGTATAAGTGGAATAGAAAAATGAATAAATCTTTGGATAAATACATAATGCAAAAAATTAAATTTATAAAATTTATAAAATATTTAAATTTTTATAATCTATGATATTTTTACCTTTTAAAATTCTATCTCTAGACCACTATTTAAGATGATGAATTTCTAAAACTCTAACTGTAAGTTTTTCTATCTTGGTACTCAATCTTATATTTCTAACTTTTATGTAATATGAGAAAATATGTCCATAATTATTTTTAGGATTATATAAATATTTTCAATAATTGTGAATGATTTTCATAGAGCTTGATTTATCAATAGTATTTGGATCAAATATTGGATCCAAGATTGATTTTAAAATATTAAATAATAATATAAAATATACTACTTTTCTTTTTTGTCTTAGTAAAAAATATGCATCTAAATCAAAATATGAAGTGCATAATTTTTTATCTTTTAATCTAAAATATTCTTCTAAAATAATAGGTCTAATACTTATTTAGAACCAAAGTAACTATATATATATATATATATATATATATATATGTTAGGGACATAGTCCTTAGAACCTTCTAGAGATAAGTTTCTAGAACCTTCTAGAAGCGAGTCTCTGGAACCTTCTAGAAGCTTCTTAGTTTTTAGAAGTTGCTTGAGAAGCTTCCTAAATAGGAGTATATATTGGAATCGAGGTTGAAGAGTTCTTCAGTCTTCTCAACACATCTCTTGGAACTCTAGCTCACCTCTTTGGTATTGTTCTTGTATCCATTTGATTAATCTAGTTCTTGTCAGTTCTTCTTGAACTTCTTGTTAGATCTCGAATATGTATTTCTATGTCCGTGACAGTTTGTCGAGACTTCATTCACCTCAAATATCAAAGCTAGTTTCTTCCTCGTTAGAGTGTGGATTACTCCTCTGCTTGAAAATATACTAGCATTTTAGACGTTGCAGATCATCCTCCTCTAAACTGATACTTCTTTTGTTTCAATATTGGAGTCTTATTCTTCTTGGAGAGAGTGGATTACCCCTTTTCTTAAAGCTCTTAAGGCATTTTAGAAGTTGCGGAGTATCCTCTTCTAAATCAATATTGTCTTCTTGTAGAGTCATTTCTGTCCTTCTCTTAGAATGGCCGTAGGCCAAGACATTAGTATGACGGAAAGTTCGGAGTCCAAGTTGGATGCTATCATGAATGCCCTCGCTACGTTATTGCAAAGAACTGCAGAGATTGAAGGAGTCGTGACAAGGCTTCATAATGATGGAACATCTAAGATGGCACCAGCCTCAAACTTCTGCACTTAGAGAAGCAACTTTGCCTCAAGTTCGACAAGCACCGCTGGTTCTACAACATAAGGAGCCCCGAGTTAGCCTTCCAAACAAGTTCAATAGTATGCATTCCAAGTTTCGAGGATTCGTCAACCAAATCAGGTTGATAATAGTTTTACAGCTTGAATGCTATCCAACGGAGGAGTCACATGTTGGGCTTGTTGGAACCTTACTTACAAAACAAGCTCTATCATGGTTTGCTCTTTTGTTTGAGAAACAATCGTCCATACTAAACAACTTTGAAACCTTTTTGGAGGGTTTGTAGAAGCATTTGGTGAACACGACAAGGTTCGATGGGCTACAACAAAGATTCGGTCACTATGACAAGAGATGAGCTTTACATCAGTCTATGCATCGAACTTCAGGCAATTAGCATGCAACATCAATTGGGATGAAGAAGCGTTGATGAGTCAATTCTATTGGGGTTTAAGGGACGATGTGAAGGATTTGCTGTTAACTCTTCCTCATCCGCAAACGCTCAACGAAGCTATTAGCCAAGTTGTGAAGTGCGATAATCGCCTATTCCAACGTCACCAAGACCAACATTCAAGACAACATACGATTCGCCACATCCCAACTATGTCGGCAAGTATCGTGAATTCACATTCAGAGGTAGAAGACATGCACATTGATGTGGTACGTGTCAAATCCCTTACTCTAGAAGAGAAAAAGCGGCGTATGGAGGAAGGTCTATGCTTGCATTGCGGTGAAGAAGGCCACAAAGTTGGAAACTGCCCCAAGAAGCAAAATCGACATATTGTCAAGACTAGAGGCTCGTTTGTTCAGGAAAACGAGGATGCCCATCCACAATAGGAACCGTGCGGTTGGACAGTGAAATATCGCAACAACAACCAAGTTCCTTTCTTTCTGCTCAATCTGCCCTTTGCTTGACAATCTCTTTGCTTATTGGCCCTCATAAACTGAGAACCTTAGCATTATTAGATTCAGGAGCATCTGCTTGTTTCTTAGATGAAGAATTTGTGAAGCGTCATTAGATCCTTTTAGTACAAAAATCCAAACCTGTTCACGTTGAGGTCATAGATGGGCGACCTTTATTGTCT